CCACACTAGCTACTTGGGAGAAAGAAGCAAGCTTGAACAAAGAGAAAGGATTAAATTGGTTTGGAAATCTCAGCTTTTAACTCATCTTGCATTCCGTCAATGGTCTGCCTGCTAGCTCTGTCAGTTGCCCTTAGATTTGATCCATTTGTACCAGTCATCTTCTTCTGTGTTGGTGGAGTGGATGGATGTGTGTGGAGGAACAGTGAACAGAGATGACTGGCGATTGTTACATATCAGAGATCCCCAACTAGTAGATCTTGAAGCCCAGTCTATAAATGAAACTAGAAGCTGCTTGTATTACCCTTTCCCTTTGTCCTCTTCCTTCACATTGGAAAGAATACACCTCTGACTTATATCGTGTTCATGCTAAGATCTGAGAGAAATGATAGCTTCAAATACCTTAGGAAGACTGGTAGGCTCTGTTCTTGCTTCTGGTCATTAATTGGCCTATAAGAGCCTTCTGCTTTCTAAGACATCTGAAGCTGGTACTCTGTAACCATCTTCTTGCCTTCTAATTATTATGACTTGGAAGGAAAAGAATCGCCTAGATGTGTGTTTGGAGATTCCATGAGATTCAGAGGTCATATGGCATTTCTAAGACTCCCTTATTATTCATGCTCAGTTCTAACTAGTAGTTTAAAGTAACCACATTTTGAGTTTGTACCCTACATGTATGTTCCAAGTAAGGCATGGTATGTGCCATTCATACTGGCTATTTGGTGGCAAATACTTAACATCAATAATAAGCATACATTCATCCACTTTGGACAATCAGTCAACAGTAATTTACTTTCATGGTCTGGGGAATTCTGAGACGAGTCAATGAAAATGTAGAATGGAATAAAGCTAAAATAAGACAAATCAACCCAGATTTGGATTCTGGTTCTGTTTGGGCAAATTATTTTCTCATTCTGAGCTATTGCTTGCTGAACCCCCGTAGGAATTTTTCTCCAGGCACAACTATGAGAAATGTAGCTAGCAAGATCATCCAGCATGTGGTAGGTGCTCACAAAAGTGTAATCCTTCTTATTCCTCATCCTTCTACTTAACGTAGTAATATCTTTAGGTCTTCCTAGTTAGCCCAAATGAAAATTTGAAAGCTTTAAACAAAATTAATGTCAATTGGCTTAATTTCAGAAGCATTCGCCATATGGCGTTGGTAAGGGAATCTCAAATTATGTAAGTAGCTACTGAGAATCTAAACTCTCAAAGCTGTGAATCCTTGAGCATGGCTCTGGTATTTCAAGAGGCAGGATATATCCAGCTTAAGGAAGCTGTTTATTCCCAGCCATGTCTCTAACTCACTGCCTAGATCTGCCTCCTGGATGGACTCAGCAATTTCTCCCTGTGGGACCCTAGTGGGTGGCTGGTTATAGCAGCAGTGAAGATCCATCTGTGGATACTCACTCAAGCCCAGCTGTACACTCTTGTACACATGAGCTCCATTCTTCTTCCCAATAGCTATGTAGCTATATATCATCATATTCCCATCACAGAGCCGGAAAAAGGGAAGTAAATGACCTGGGGTCATGCCAAGAAGGTGACAGAGCAGGACTAAGCATCATCATTTCTAATTCCTTCCAAAGCCTGTGGGCTTTGTACACTAAATCTGAAGAAAAGTAGGTCTACCAGTTATTTCTGACCTGGCCTTTGGAGTAAGGGAGAGTCAGTCACTGGAAGGGAAATGGGATCTCAGGACCTCTGAGAAGCGTGATTGTTCCCACCACACGCCCATCTCCTTTCTTTCTCCTCCAGGACAACATGTGTTCCCTGAGGGTAGGCTCTGAGTCTGTAGTTCTGTACTGTGCTGAGCTTGTTGTCTTTCCAGTGTCTGGCTTGGAGCAGACTGGAGGAAGGAGGGAAGTGGTTCTCACTACCTCAGCCCTTTGCCATTGCAATGAAGCTACCCTCAGGAAAGAAGGATATTTAGGTCTTCACCACTCATATCTCAACATGGATTTCAGGGTTTTTCTGAGAGTAACTTTTGGTGAGACAGAGTGGAAGAAAATACATCACGAGAGTGATGAGGGCCCTGAAATGAAAAAGCAGGCACAAATGTAGGAGCAGAGCAGGATTGCTGAAGGCACACTGAATTCACTTTATGTTTTCACTTATTGTCTATTCTCTCGGGCTAAGTTTCTTCCTAATAGGAAACACTGTTTTATGGCTGTTGTCTTTTTTTCCAGGCTGCCTTGTTCCGCCCTCCTTCCTTTTCTCCTTCCCTTCCCTTCCTTCCTTCCTTCCTTCCTTCCTTCCTTCCTTCCTTCCTTCCTTCCTTCCTTCCTTCCTTCCTTCCTTCCTTCCTTCTTTCCTCTCTTATTTTCTTCCCTCTTTCCCTCTCTCCTTCCCTCCTTCCCTCCTTCCTCCCTTTTTTCCTTTCCATTTATTTATTTACCATTGTTGTTTCTTAGAAGAGTTACTTTTGAAATAGAAAACCTTCTGAATATGTGAAGATCAACGTTCTAAAGTAGTTATTTAATTACTTCCCCACAGAGGTGGGTAGAGGTGATGAGGGGCCAGGGAAGACCACTGCTGACAGGCTCCTGGAGATGTGGACATGAGCTGGACTTGCTGTGTGAAAAGCAGAATGAGTTAGTTATGGCAATTTGCCTAAAAGATTCTGTTGTCTGTTGTGATTGTGAAGAAATCTTTCCTAGATGATATGCTGTTTCATAGAAGCTATTTCTGGAAGAGCTCCTGTCACATGAGGAACTAAAGGGAATATGAAATTAAGCTATGATTCAAGCTTTCAAAGGACTCAGAGCTACAGATGTGAATTACTGAGCTGGAATTTTAGCTTATCTCTAAACTGGCTTTTTAAGAAAGGACCTTGAAGTCATTCAATTAATTTTTGCTAAGCCTTTCTTTTCTAGAAGGTTTGAGGACAGTGATGGTTCCAGCAAAGGATGAAGGCAGAACCAAATGGTCTTTATGATACCTTCTGATTCTGAGATGTGACATTATGTTTTGCAGGAAAGTAGACCTTGACCTCTGGCCTTGTGGTTTAACTATAGTCTCTTTTTATAGCTCAGTGATTTATTTCCTTTGTCTAATGCTGTTTACAACACTGCTATTTGCTTAAGTCTGTACCATTCAAATTTTGTAAGAAAAGGGCTGATTTGAACGAACAGAATTTCCTTTATGTGAATTAGGTGAAATTCTAGTCTGTTTTGGTGACCAGAAATATGTTGGGTGGTCCTGGGGTGGGCTTGTAAGAAAGAGACAACAGGGTCATGAGAAAACAAACGATGACTCTTCTGTTCCCACATGTGATACAATAAACCACAGAAAGTCTAACATAATTGCCAACTCTGGCTCAAGACCTACCAAATGATAAACTCAATGTTCAGAACACAAGAAAAGAAGAGTAAGTTGACCTGGTTTAATAGAGAAGGGGTTGCTACTGGCACTAAAACTACCATCAGAGGAAAATGCAACAAGATGCTACAGGTGAACTTAGAGCATCAAGTAGCAGTGTGAACATTCAGTCATTCAACCCAGTAATTGAAAGAGCAATGTTGGACAGTTGGGAAACTGAGGCTCTGGGTTTGGCTCTGCCATTGGCTGGCTCCAAAGCTTGGGGAAAAAAAAGATTCTTCATTTCTGGGGTTTGGTTTACTTCATCTATAAAACAAGTGGTTGTTTTTCAAAGATACTTAACATTTATGTAGCATCTGCTATGTTCCAAGTATGAGCTGAACATCTTCTAAGGCTCTCAGTTGGTTCTCTAAAGGTCTTGGCAATTTCTTGAAGAATAGGAAGAAAGTGGCAATAGCCCTGTCTCTGCTATTGGCTGCCCCTCTCCTTGGTGGATCATCATGGCAGCTTCTCTATCCTGCTTTCTCCCTGATGGAAAGGACTGGCATTGTTTAGCCTGGACATAAGGCACTTGAGAAAGGTTTATGCAATTTTTATTTAGCCTGTGGAGAGCTATCTGTGGAACATGTAGAGACAAAATAATTCTACACATTAGTTTGTAAAATCTGAGAAGACCAAGGGAATAGGCACTCTTGGCCAAAAGGCAGAAGTGCCCAGGCTAAATGATGAATTGAACTCCATAGTCTGCTATCTACAGCATGAAGGATCTCTTAAGCCTAACTCAAGACTGAGACATAGATCCTCAAGAAAGTTTGCTAACGAACCATCATTAGTTTCCTTGACTTCCTCAACTACTAGGATAGCAGTGAGTTTTATCCACTAGCCTGTACTTGTTTTATGTTTCCTTGTTAGGAAAACTCAGAGACACATTCTACACAAGACAGGAAAAGGAAAGTCTTTAGTAGATCTGAGACTGACTATGGCTCCCTACTTCTTCCGCCCCCCATATCTCTGTCCTTAGTCTGTGGACAAACCCTGTCTCCTGTTCCCCTGGCCTTCACAGGCCCCCTCTGGCCTTCCAGCCAACTGTTTTCCAGCACCCAAGGCAAAGAACTACAAGCCAAAGATCATGAAGGGAAGATCATGTCTTTTGAGTTCATATAGCATCTAATGTCTTGCTGATTCTTGTCAAAAACACAGCTCTTGGTTGGAGCCAAGCTACAACTGTAGTGTAACTTCCTTGTTGCTATACACTGGGATGTGAGAAACAACTGGTTGTCTGGTAGCAAAAGCTGTTTATGTGAAAAGTTGGGCCACTCTCTTCAGTGCCTGTATTATTGTATGAGTAGGGCAATGTGCAGTTCTGATTACATAGAGCTAGATGACATTCCAAAAGAGCACTTAATTACATTGCCTTCTTTCCTCTTCTCTCCCCCCCGCCGTGTGGCATCACAGAGAACTCAAGAGTGGCGACTAGAGAGTAAACAACAACAACAACAACAACGAACTTTCTGCCTCCTGAATGTTGGAGACAAGGATGCTCATTGGACCCATTGCTTTCTCATTGTGACCCAAGAATCATCTCTGGGGATCCAGCATTCTTCACCGCTTTCCCTTTGGCTGGGATATGTTATGAACTAGTGTGGACCTTATACTCGGCAAGAACAGAAACACACACGTACGTGCTCGGACGTGAAGGCGATGAGCCTGGGAACCGCAGCCATTCCTTTCTCTTTGACTTCCGGAAACATCTTGTAGCGGGCTATCAGCATGGCGTACATGTTGGAGATGGCACCACCTGCAGGGCACAGCACACCGTTACTGTTCCTTGTCATGATCCTCATCAGTCAGTCCACCTGCCAGCGGGGCCTTCGTCCCTATTTCCACTGTCCTGGGACACAGGAGGAGACGCCTCCGGGGAGATGTTGAAAACCACATTGGCTGTCCCTTGAACTGAATTCTCAGACTCAAAGACAGGAAGGAAGAGAGTTCTGAGAAGGTTCCTTGGGCCCAGCTGTAAGATGGAAACTATCTGTGACACTCTACTTTGGTCACTAAGGGTCAGGATTAAATGATCTCTGAACTCTGGTATTGCAGGAATACACTTTTTAAGAAGAGAAGTGTCTCACGTCTTAATTTGTGAACGTGGTTATTGTATAGTAGGGCTATAAAATCCTAGCTATCTTTTGCTGGTGAGTGGTTATATATTTTCATTTCCTCTAAATACCTTGTGCTTGGACAGACAAAAAAAAGCTTCTATTAATGTGGGCTGTTAATAATTCTTACAGAATGTAAGATAAACATCAACCCAGTTCATCATATTCATCTCTTTATCATTCAAAAACAGTTCTTTTTGCTTAAAGATATTCTTAAAATAGAATTTAGATGAACACCTTATTTCATAAGTATAATAAAAGAGAATAATTCTGAACACTTTGGGGGGATTTTGTATTATAAGGGTTTTTTTTGAATGTCTTGAGACTTTCCCAGATGTAAAATTTTATAATTCCTTTAAGACAAGGAGGAACACTTTAGTTGAATTGTTAAGTAAATAATGTACCTTTTGGTTGATAATTTATCCTTAGGTCTCATTCCTCTTCATTTTTCTAAGACAAAGTGCACATGCTATAAGGTTTTTATCTCATAACTAGGGTCTCAATTTGATAAGCAAAGGAAAGGGAGCTTTCCCTGAAGTTTTTGAGTAGCAGCTTAGGTTTTTTTTTCATTGTTGTTGTTTGTTTAGCGTTTTGATTTTTTTTTTTTGCCAGCTAGGGAAAGGTAGACTGCTACAATGCAAATGAATTCACTGGCATGGAAGGCACAGGTACTACCTCATTGGCTTGACCTATGATGTGAATGCTTTGACTTGCCTTTTCTCCTGGTGTCTGAGGGGCAGAAAGACTCTGGGCCAAGTTGAATGGCCTATGCAGGGCTATGACCTTTGCTTCACAAGTCCCGGGCTCTGACCCAGGCAGGCCACCTGGCACAGAGCAGTCATTGCCCAGATCTTGGCATTCTCACCATTCAGAATGAGGGCACTTTCTACCTTTCTGGACCCCAGAGAGATATAGTATGAGGAGAATCCAGGTCAAGTCTGCTCTGAAGAGATAAATTGTTAGCAGGCTGAGATAGGATGCTAGATAACGAATCAGCTTTTGAAAGAAATTTTTTCACTCTAGCTCATGATTTCTCAGTGCTGACACATGGGCATTTGGGGCTTCACCATTCTCTATGGTGAGGGTTGTTCTATGTCATCTATCCATTAATTGACTTCAGCATACCCCTCCTCCAGTTATTAAATATGATAAATAATAATAAATGTTAATAAAATAAAAAGAATAAAATGGTTCTATAGACATTGTCCAGCATTTCTTGGCAGAGGCAGAGACAGAATATCCCCTATGTGATAGTTGCAGGTTCAAAGAGTAAAGAGGGCAGAAGAGAAAGGGGAAATGCACAAAGGAGCTGTTCTTTACAGAACAACTATCCAAGATGGCTTTTATTTTATTTTCTTTCTCACATCTCATTTTGTTGCTCAGTCACCCTCCAAGGTGAAGGTTTTGAGTGAAGGAGCCCATGGGCTTTCAGATAGAATAGATTATCTTGTGAAACCCAATCATTCCTGCCCTCCTAACTTCCTTATTCTCTGCATATGCTACATAATCTTATTCCTATGGTATGAAAGGATTTGTGACTAGGGGAAGCTTTCCTTTTTGCTTATCCTCTGATGGGCAAAGCAGTGAGGACTGATCCAGTTCTCTCTGGTTCTCAGGTACAGGTGACATCACTTAGATAAGAGGATTCCTTCTAGAAGTCATAGTGGGCTTTTCACAAAACACACAACCTCTGAGTGTTACAGATGGGGTAGAAAGCCCACAAAGTTGAGCTCTGTATTCAAGTTCAGTCCTAATTTTGTACATGGGACCTTTAGATCACATGTATGATTTTCCCCTCTCCCCACTCCTTTCCAGTCTTAAGACCTTTTATCCCATCTAGACAGTACTTGATAAACCATCCATTAGCAAATAAGGATGCTCTGTGTGAGCCATCTGCCTTCTGTGATGCCTCACAGGAAGTCAAATAGAAACATGTTGCAAGTCTTCTCTGCTGCCAACTCTACAGCAGATTATCTATAATACACTGTACCATGACATTTGCAACTTCCATGTTGGCACGATAGCATGTGGACCTACATGCTCCAAGGAAGAAGCTATGGTCAAGCCTAAATCTACTGTATCACCTATATCTACTTGTCCATCATCCGTAGGATGGAGGAATAGATGACAAGTCCATACCTAGCCCAAAAGAACTGACTATGACAATTCTTTCTCTGGATGTATGTTTTCTGGGGTAACGAAGATCCCAGAACTGACCAGATTAATTAGGCCTGACTTCTAGTCAGGTTTCTAGATGCAACAGGTACAGCTGTTCTCTTCCTACATCTTTGAACTATTAAACTAGAGACCTTGATGCTATTGGCATACCTTTGGGAGAGCTCAGCACTACACCCATGTAAATGAGGTAGAAATGATGATGATCCCTTGTGAAAAATACCTCCAAATCATCAATTTCTGGCAACAAGAACACAGCTAAACCCAGCACCAACACAACAAACAGAAATACTGAGTACTGAATTCCGTGTGTGTGTGTGTGTGTGTGTGTGTGTGTGTGTGTGTGTGAGAGAGAGAGAGAGAGAGAGAGAAAGAGAGAGAGAGAGGCTCCAGTGGCTCTATCTGCAATGCTAGCTACTCAGGAGACTGAGGAGACTGAGATCTGAGGATGCTGGGTCAAACTAGCCTAGGGAGGAAAGTCCATGAGATTCTTTATCTCTAATTAACCATCAAAATAAACAAATGAACAAACAAGAAGTGGGGCTGTGATTCAAGTAGTGGAGCTCAGATTTGAGCTCAAAAGCTCAAGGACAGCATCAGGTTCTGAGTTCAAGCCCCAGAATGGGTACTAAACATAAAGATAACTTAAGATCGACCTCAGCTGGTATTCAGTAATTTGTTGTTGTTAATTTAAAAAAAAAAAAAAGACTCAAAAAGAAAACCAGGGGCTGGGAAGGTGGCTTAGTGGTAGAGCGCTTGCCTTGCATGCCTGAGGTCCTGGGTTCGATTCCTCAGCACCACATAAGCAAAAAGAAAAAAGCCGGAAGTGGTGCTGTGGCTCAAGTGGTAGAGCACTAGCCTTGAGCTGAAGAGCTGAGGGACAGGGCCCAGGCCCAGAGTTCAGGCCCCAGGACCGGACCCTCCCCCCCCCCCAAAAAAAAGGAAAACCAACTTTTTTTTCCCCTTGAGCACCTGATAAATGTGCTCTCAAGAGAAAATGAAATAAAGAAAAATAAAATAAAATAAATAGAAGATCTGAGCTGGTAAACAAACACACTTAAGTGTTAGTTTTGAAGACACTATTTCTTGTTCATCATTTATTTTTTCTTTGTAAATAAATTCTCCTCTGTCTTTTCTACTTGTCTGTGTAGATTTGCAGAAGAGAGATTAGGACTGTGGGCTTTGCTCTGCTTGACACAATGGCAGGTATGGCTGTCTAGTGGTGTGGTCTTAGTGTAACTGACGACACCTCCCTCCTGACACTGATTAGGTAATGATCTTCTTTTGCTTGGGTCAGTGGCTCTCATTTCCCATTGCCTTCCTAACTTCTATTTTTCTTCTGCATCAAAGCAAGATCACATCCATGAATCAAGGGCATAGCTTTTGTTTCAGGTTCATTCTCTGGAGTGAGAGAGGTATAAATAATGGCTTTTATAATGGCGATACATGGAAAAGATTGGATGGCATGATAAAGAAGAGGAGGAATGAGAAATCTCTGAACGATTAACCCCTTCCCCCATTTTTAGCTCTAAGGAATTATCTTCTTAGAAATTATGTGCCCTTTCTAAAATTAGTGTAAAATCAGCCTTCCTGCTGTTTCAAAGACTAGATGGGGCACATATGCGCAACTGAGTAGATCTGCCTTTATATACACCTTGAAACAGTGAATGTTTTATTAAATTAAGCTACCTTTTTCTCTTTACTAATTCTAGGAAGCAAACTAGTGGATCCTATTACTAGAAATCTTTATTCCACAATCCTGTATGTAGGGCCACAGTAGCAATTATGGGTGAATAGCATCTCTGTTTATGCTCTTTTAAATACAAATAATTGCAGTTTGAGTATGGGATAGTTAGGTTGGAGATTTTTTTTTTTTTTGCCAGTCCTGGGGCTTGAACTCTGGGCCTGGGTACTTTCCCTCAGCTCTTCAGCTCAAGGCTAGCCCTCTACCACTTGAGCCACAGTGCCACTTCTGGCTTTTTCTGCTTATGTGGTACTGAGAAATCGAACCCAGGGCCTCATGCATGCGAGGCAAGTGCTCTACCACTGAGCCACCTTCCCAGACCAAGGTTGCAGATGTTTTTAATGGGCATATGCACTTCACCACACACATATCTTTTATCAACAGACAGCCTATACAACCTAATCAGAAATAGAGACTGTATACTTTTCTTAAGTTTGTACAAAACAAGTCATATCAGGGAAAAACCACCACAACAATGCAAAGAAAAGTTGAAATTGTGTACCAGGAGAAAATATCCCATCACCAGAGCCTCCAGGCCAGCCAACAATTTCTCTCATTTTCTTTAGTGTGACATATTCCAAAAGCACAAATACTGGAGCAATCTCATAGGTGAACCTGAAAGATGAAAATGACCACATAGATGTATGGAACAAAGAAATAATTTACACATTAGACTACCTACAGATTGTTTTTCTCTTTCAAATCTACATTTGCAGACATTTTGATAATAACATTAAGAAGAGAGAAATTGTTGATAAAGGTTTTTCTAAAAGGTTTTCTCATTTTATTCTGTAGCTCTAGAGTTGTGGTTCAGTTATTAGCATGAGATAAAAGGGAGATTTATAATAGTGAGTAAAGAACATTGTAGAGTTATGCTATGTAAAAGACTATATTAGGTCCCATTTCTCTTTCACATTATACATAATTACAAATAAAAAATGCCAGAGAATCTTTCTTTATAGTTTTGAATTTTTATTCTTTGCATCAAAGATATATCATGGCTATTTCCTATTAAGTAAGAGTGAGCTCTTACATAATTCTGGAGTTAGTATCCCTAGCGATTTAAGAGGTAGACTATGGGATCTCTCTGATAATTACCCTAGATTACACAAAAGCCTGTTCAACTACTTACATGTTAGTGTTTGCTGTTGATGTTAGCCAGTCTGCTGCTAATCCAACCATATCCAATCCAGTGGAAAGTTGATTGAAATATCTGGGGTGCCCTGAATAAAAAAGAAATACTAGAATCAGGATTGCATCCAGTGAAGATAAATGCCATTAAAACCACATATTTTTTTCCCAGCTAAAGGTCTTTGAAAGATCTTTTAGTAATAGGAAATAGACATTCAGAAATCCAGTATGCACACACATGTAAGTACAAGAATAAATAAGCATACACATACATATAACCTTGCCTACAGCCACAGAGACTACTGAGTGTGCTAGTATCTCTTAAAAGATCTTCTTTTTAAAATGCTCTACAAAAAACAGAGATCAACATTTGTCTTGCAGTCTGGACACTGGACATCATCTATATATTCAATATATTTTCATACTAGAATGCACTGAAACCTAAAGCAGTTCAAAGATAGATGAGTTCTTGTTTGTATTTAGGCTGTTGGAAGTCCTTTTCGCTGAAAGGTTCTGAGAATCATTTACACCACAACATCTGCCAGACGTGCCAACATTTGTAACAGTATCAGTGACAAATGGCTGATAATCACAAAAGACAAGGCAAAAATGAGAAAATAGGACACTCTTGAGTGATCTGCCCTGGATTCAAAAGGTGAAGAGTGTCTAAAGATGGCAGGGTCAAAACTCACTCTTATCAATTCTTCTCTGCCTGAATATTTAGTTGTAAACACCAGAGTGCCTACATAGTTGAGATTTAAAGTCCAGTTCAGTCAACATCACTGTCTTTTCAACAAGATACATGAAGATATATCCAGAGGCCTGATTGGCCCATTAGTGGGGCTTATCTAATTAACATCTAGCTTTCTCTGCAATTCTCTTAAAGGGTTGATGCCCACATACTCTAGAGGCTATTATTTTTTAAAATGTGATTATAAATACCTCTTCTTCTTGTTCCATGAAAGTCTATCAATAAACCAGGCCACTGGCTTAGCCACAGAAAGTTTGGATGACAAACAATTATGGAAATAAACATCTGATAAAAAAGGAATCTGTCACTTGCTGGACACCTGTCTGCTGTCTGGGGATGTGATAGGCTCTCACCACCAGCTCAGGGAAAACAAGATAAAGGATGGCAAGGGGAGGGGGGGAGCAGGAACAAAAGTCAACACATAGCTTATCTCCCCAACTGGCTTGCTCTCTTATCAGCCTCAGACATGTGGCCAGAGAATTAGACTGGGAAAAGACAGGAGCACATATGAGAGGGCCTGGAGCTCGTGTATGTCTTGGTAATTCCCCAGCACTGTTTCATCTCCCTATGGCCTGGCATGGTGTCTTTTCTGGTTTGCTCTTTTCTATGCCCTTTGATGCTGACCCCATCAAGTTTACCCATTCAGTTAAGAATACTGGTGCTGCTGCTGCTGCTGCTGCTGATGTGTGAAACAAAGCCCCACTCCTCTCTGCCTCATTGACTCCCCATTTCATTACAGTTCACAGCTGACATCACAGCCAGCCTCTCCCACCCAGATGCCCCTCCATTTCTCTATCCCTAAGCTATATTTTTCCAAGTGGAGAAATGAATAAGGATTAGCTCCATCTACTCTTTCCACTCATATGCATTTCCTGGATAAATTTACTCTCTCTTGTCACACGGGATTTAACTCTATGTAACGGTGGCATTAAAGCCTTTGTGTAACACTGGGAGGGATTCTAAGGTGTGAGCTGTGAATACAAGGTTGCTGCTTCAATTGTTGGGTTTCCCTCCCACTACATAATTTTTGACCTTGGTCTCCTATTTTCTCCTACATCACAATTTTCATTCATGGGTACTGTAAAAATATGGAGGGAGGTAGTTTGACAGGTTAGAATAACATGCTCTTTTGATTTCTAGCAGAAATACCTCCTTAGTTATATTTGTTCTTCTGTGGCCTCTACAGACTGCCCTTAAGGGCTGCTCAGTGAATCCAATCAAGACTGAAAGTGTGAGATCATGACCTGAGCTTGCCATTTTGTCCCAGCAGTCCTGGGCACCCCACAGCTGCTGGGACCTGTGAGGCGGGGTGAAGGGTACACAAATGGGAGACTCTCCTGGCTATGTATAATGTGGGCAGCTAGGGAGACAGTACGCTTGAGATATGAAATTAGGGCCTATGTCAGTCCCTAGAGTGTCCTTCTATAGTGTGTGAGCTGGGCAAAATGCACAGCCTAGGGAAAATCCCAGCTTGTGCTCACAATCAGTTGAGGAGGGGCCCAAAGTCATCCAGACTGTTGTTTATATACTGGCAACCTGCACAGGGTCAGCCTTATCTATTAACCATTCCATGCCATTTGTCTTGAGACTAGATTAAAGATTGAAGACTACATTAACCCCATTTTCCTCAGTCATGACCAATACCAAATCTAATAATGCCTGCACACATGACCAACAATTCCAGAACCCTCCCATAACCTGAAGTTCTCTGTTCCAACATTTCTTTTGCAGAGGAATTTAAACAAATACATTGTGAATACTTCCTTTCAGAATAGTCCCCCTTCCACTGCCTTTCATTTTTTCTGGAGCTCAAGTGGAAGTCGGGCTAAGGTCTTTTCATAGAAACCAGATAATAGCATGCACTCCTAAAAATCATCTTCCAAGGATGATGAAAATACTGCATGATAACAGGAATGACAACTGTTCTGGAAGGCTCTGAATGATGCTAGGTGACAAATGAAATAGAGCACAAAATTTATAAACTTGCTAGTTGAAGAGACAATGTGGCCATCTTTAATGTTTTTTGGAATGTTAATGGGGGAGAGAAGGTCAGAAGACTAAACATGCTGTGAATAAAGTCCAGATAGTCCATCAGTATTGCTATACTTTGCTTATAAATCCAAGTGAATCTTGGGATTTAAAAAAATCTGAGCTTTGACTAAAACGCATCAGAGTAACACTTGACTAGCAGTTCCAAAAACATTATGGCAAAGTCTATGTGTTGAATTGTCCTATCTGTTCCTGAGGCTAAATGATTCCCTGATAGACAGAACCATTCTTTGCATTGACTTGCAATTCCCATTATCTTACTTGTGTAAGTTGCATTTCAAACACCACCAGCCTTTAAGAAGATATAAAACATTTTTACAGATTCCATTTTGGTTTGGTAACAATATAAATAATAAGTACCAATTTACCATTACCGTAGTTAATTATTAGGTAAGGGGAAATCAGTCAAATAAAGATGCAGGAAATGCTCTGTGTGTGTGTGTGTGTGTGTGTGTGTGTGTGTGTGTGTGTGTGTGTGTGTGTGTGTATGTGTTGGTAATGAAGGAACATCTTTTATTGTTTACTATATCCAAACCCGAGATTATCTAGGAATATTCATTGAAAATGATAGCTAATAAATCTTCAAAAAAATCAAATCAGACTCCATAAATCAACAAGTTAATTCCTCTCCGTAGTTCTAAGTCTATAGTCTGACAAAAGTGGATAATAATAAATACAATAAATCAAACTTCAAGACTTTCTGTATGTAAAAAAACTCCTTTCTGTTGATATAAAGAATGCCTGCTTCCTCCCCCATGATAAAAATCTCAGAGCAAACATTCTATCATGTTACTTGTTAGTTAGAATAAACAATCCCAACAACTCATCAACAAAAATAATATTGATAATCCACCAAGCAAAAATTGCAACATAAAAATATGACCTTTATGATAATTAGTGCTTATGTAATATTGTAATTTTTTATGTTAGCAAATCTTTTAAAGGCTACAAATCAGTTTAGACATACATGGCTTTCTTTTTCTACCAGGAATGCATTCATATAGATTTCTTAATGATAAATGCCACTGTTGCTTATGTATCAGGATGGTAGACAATGTAGACAAAACCAAAATATTCACGACCAGGGTAATAAAGATCTCATTTTGTGGAGATATTTTTTAAAGTCTGGAATGCATTCAAATAAATATTACACCTGCAGCTATAATATGCATAAAATATGAAGGAGCCTGTGGACAAAACAAAGGACAGATCACAGCTATATTAGAAATATATCCTCCTCCCTCCTTATTCAAAGGCTGTGAAAGACACACATCCTCACACAATACAGCTATATTGCTAAATTAATCTACAGTGTACTTTGCTTGGTATGTCTTAATACCTCTTTAAAAATAGGAGAAAAACTGGAATTCAAATCTGAAGTCTTGGCAACTGGTCACTAGCTCAATGCCTACATAGCTGGTTTAGTTCAAATATGGTTAGTCCAGTTTTTGTCTGGGTCTATGCCAAAGAAATTACCAGCACTACACTGGAATCCAGGCTTTTGTTGGATTATACCTTTAAACATTTCCATATTTCCCTTCTTTCTCCATTTTGGGTCAATTTTTACTGGCCCCTGCTGACAAATGGTTGCTTCTACACCACTGTTAATCTCCATGGCCAAATACATGCTATATAAAGTCTTATGATTTACACTGCTAATGTTTCTTATATTAGCAAATTCATATGCATTAATAATAGCAGAGTGCTTTTGATTTGAATCTTTGCAAATGATGACAATAACTTCATATTGCAAAAATAATTGCAACTCCATAACACAGGAAAGGTTTTTATAGAAAAAAAATTAAAGGAATAAAAAGAAAAAACTTTATTATTTCTGATAGGACAATACCTGTTTTAATTGCATATTTTAGAGTTGTTTGGCAATGCATCAAAATTTCCTCCAAATTTTGTGGTTGGTCCGCCAATTCCCAATTATACTCTTGAAGCAGCTCATTGGGATAATGGAAATCAATCACTTTGGTTGATCTATCAAAGCTTTTCACCACATACTGAAGCAAAATGTCGATTACATTCTGCAGAAACGCCAAAGTGGGCCTTTCTCCATCACATGCGGGTAGCAGATCTAAAGAATGGCATTAAAACGACACAATTGAATTTCACCAGGAAAATATTCACGCAGATCCCGGTTGGGACATTTTTCTTTCAAATGAGAAAAATTTAAAACAAAGCTTTTTGGAAAGGCAGAGCATTTGGGGGAGCAAGGAATAAGGGGAGGCATTTTTCAAAGATAGTGGGAACAAACGAGAAATTTTAATGTGTCCTCCGGAAATTATTTTATTTACATTGATCCATTGTTTTGCTAGCTTGCTTTCTTCTCCTTTTTTGCTCCCAAAGAGTGTGACTACATTTATCTATTCTGTAGGGGTTCGCCCTAAATGTTCTTTCTTGGATTTAAAAAAGCATGGTAAATGTTTGTGGAAATCCACCACATCCGAAATCTTTGAGAAATGCCTTCTTGTAAACTAGGGAAATTAGAACATGCAAAGTTAGAATTTGGCTTGTTGAAGGCCAGCTGTTTCCAAAGCGTTTGTGTGTGTGTGTGTGTGTGTGTGTGTGTGTGTGTGTGTGTGTTGGCGCGCACGCGCGTGTGTGTTAGTGTATAGCATGAGCATTGAAGACTGGGTGTGTAAGCACACAGGAGCGCACAGCATTCCCTGGAATGAAATTCCTCTGTGAAGTCGCAGCTACCAAACGACTGGTGATCGAATCTAAAGACGTAAACCATCTCAGCAATTCCGAACGATTGTAATAGAAACCCCAGTGACCCCCAGGATCTGACTACAAGGCGCCAGGAGCGTGCACCCGCCTCGCCATCGCCATCAGCAGCTTGGATGGCCAAGCTGGGAAAAGGGTCGGTGGGCCTAGAGTCGGCTCACAGCACCAAGGCCCTGAGCAGGGCTGATTCTGCAGGCCCAGAGTTCCTGGCTGAAGATTCTTCTAGGGCCCACTAGTGCCGGCCTCCAGGGCGCCTTTGGTCTGGCTCCCAGCCCTGGGCGTCGCCCGGGGCCCGAGGTGGACGGGGCGGAGCCAGGCACCGGGGTGGCCCGGGGCTCTGGGAGGCGCCCTTACCTGTTGCGTGGAGAAACGCGTAGTTGATGTCCGCTTTGGGGCAGCTGCATGGCTTCTGGTCGCAGGTGCAGGCGACTTTCCGGGGGGCAGCCTTCGGGGGTACGCTCCCGCCGCTCTCCGCTGGCTTCTCCGCGTCTCCATACAGCAAGGCTGGACAAGGACACGCATTGCGGGCGTCGTTCAACCGTCCACCAACCCGGACCCCCTCTCCCTCCTTTCGACCCCTTCCCAGCCCTGCCACTCGGGTGCGGGTGCCACGGCGAACCCCCCCGATCTCGCCCGCCCTCCTTGCCAGGGCACCGGCACTCACCGCACAGCTTGTTTCCGATGCCACCGGTGAACTTCTGGGCTACCTGGCACCAGGCTCGGGCTGCCAAGGCAAGCAGGGCAGGCAGTGAAGCAGAAACACAACAGACGGGCGTGTGCAAGTTCGTTGTGGGTGGACAGCGTCAGGAAACCCCGATTCTGGAAAGGGGGTGCCTACCTCGGGAGGGACTCAGATCACCCTGGGCAGCCCCCGGGGCATTGGGCAACCGAGGAGAAGCTGAAGCCCTGACACTTTGGCCTTCCAGGAGCCGCTCATGACCACAAACTCCCTTCCCGCGTCCCCAGAGCGAATTTTGCTAGACACCAAGCCCGTCGATTTCCTGCACTCTCCTTCCAGATCGAGAATTCTCTGTTCCCCTTTGCTTTCTTCATCGCCCCTACCCCGGGGTCTAGACATCAAGGGACAGATACCCCGGGTCCGCGGCATTCGATGTTCTAGAGGCGCCGCATCTTTTAGGAGCCACCCTCTCCTAGCTTTTCAGGGGGAAGGGGCTCAAGATCTTGGGGGTTCCTTCCCTAGGGCAAAGGGCTGTGTGGGTCTCAGGCGATCAAGGACTTAGCTCCAGAGCAGGGCGAAGTACCTGAAGTTTCCTGTTGCAGGTGGCAAAGCCTCCCTCGTCTTTCCCGCAGCCCTGTAAACCCCAGGCCGCCCTTCCAAAGCTTTATTTCCGAGTTTCCTACCTGTGCCAGGGTTTTCAGGATCCCCGGAGCCATCCTCAGACCCGAAGGACCAAAAACCGGAGCCGGGAGAGGCCATGGGCGCGGGGAGACGGGAGCAGGTCGCGTCGGACTGCCAGCTGCGGGCGAGCTGCCTGGGGCTCAGGCGCTGCGCGCGCGCGCCTGCGTGTGTGTGTGTGAGTGAGTGTGTGTGTGTAAGTGTGTGTGTGTGTGTGGAGGGAGGAGGGCACAGCGCGGGGACTGGCGCGGCCACCCGAGGAGAGTGGGTGTCACACGGGGACAGAATATGTGCGTGTGTGCGTGTGCAATTGCGCCCGGGCTGTGTGAGGGCTTTGGGGATGTGGCAACCCTGGAAGGCGCGGAGGTGAATCAGGGAAGGGGTCGGTAGGAAGGGAGATCGGACAGCCGGGAGAGCAGGGATTTTGAGCGAGGCTGGAAGTGGTGGTGGTGGTGGTTGTGGGGATGATGGATGAGGGGGCGGCGGAGTGGGGGGGGGGAAGCAGGGAGAGGGAGGGAGTTGAGTCGTGAGTGCGCTAGGCAGACTCAGCGCCCCAAGGGGAGTCAGAGTGAGGGGGTGGGAGGCGTCCCCGCGCGCCCCAGACGCACGCGGGAGGCTCCAGGTGTTCGTGCCTCCCTCCTGCCCCGGCGCGCTGTCCAAGGTGCTGCCGCGGCCGAGGCGGTGACCTCAGCCCGGGGGCAGGTTGGGGAACCAAAGGAGAGGTGGGCCGTGTGGCTCCGATCAGTTTTACTGGGGATCATGGATTGGGGTATTGTTTAAGGGCTGGATGAATAGTTCCTGGGCCGCCTTCCTTCCAGAGCTTGGGAAGAGGTCGCGGCGACCTCAACAGCCCTGGTAGCGCGATTAGAAGAGAAAGGAGCTCGGTTCTCGAATTTGGGGGGAAGGTGGGGGGAGGTGAAGGGAAGCGATGGAGGAAAGTCGCCTGTGTGAGGGTGGGCTTCCTTCAGCTCCTAAATGGAGCCTTACGCCGGCCCACCGAGCCGTGCCAGCCCTGGGGCGCAACATTCTCGTGCAGCCAAGAGCTGGGTCTCGGGGACCCAATGCCCAGTGTGTGACTGACGGCTGGAGAGAGAGACTGCTGATTGAGGCAATTAAAATCCATGCAGGAGTCTATCGCCGGGGACCTCAGGCTGGAGGAAAGAAATAATAGAACGAACGAAACTTCTTGGAAGGGAGCAGAGGGGCGCAGCCAGAGCCTCTAGGATTGACGGCTGATGGGGGGGGGGGGGGGGGATGGGACCCGGCCATTTGGTGACCTTGAACCACCGAGGGGTGGAAGGGCCAGCTGTTCACGTGTGATTCGAATTCAAATGTGCGTGGAAGGCGCCGATGGGGTTTCCAACTAAGCAGTCTGGGCTTTCCAATCGGAAAGAAGGTACCTCTCCTTTTAAAGGCCCTCAAACCAGTGGCTTTCCCTTGCCCAAAGGGAAATCTGTACTGTACAGAGATATACCAGGAACGCAGGATGGGTCATTTTTGAGGCTTTTTAAAGAAGGAGAACTCTTTCTTTCTTTCTTTCTTTCTTTCTTTCTTTCTTTCTTTCTTTCTTTCTTTCTTTCTTTCTTTCTTTCTTTCTTTCTTTCTTTTCCTTCCTTCCTTCCTTCCTTCCTTCCTTCCTTCCTTCCTTCCTTCCTTCCTTCCTTCCTTCCTTCCTTCCTTCCTTTTTCTCTTCTCCGAATATCGAAAAGGTGAGAGCGCCAGAATCGTTTCTGTCTGATGGTTTCCTTTCTCTAAAACCTATTAAACACAGAGAAGTCTCGGAGGGCTTGGGGGCCCCATGAATTCGCGTGGCCTTCTCTTGGCGGCCATGAGGTTAGTTTCACCTACACCTCACAGCTCAGGTTGGAAGAGGAAGGGAGAGAACGACCCAGGCCGGAAAGCTGCCTTCAGCTGCCTGCGGCATCTGCGCCTCGCCTCGTGTGAGCGCTTGTCATTTCCATTGTACACAAGCCTTTCTTTCTCTGACCTTCCCAACCATTCTCTAAATCTGCTGCAAATCAAACCCCGGGATCCTCAGTCGTGGCTATTCCGTGATGCTCGTTGCGAAAGGGCCATGGAGTCCCCAAGGTGAAGGAGGTAGGAGACGCACGGGCCCGAGCTTTGTAACCAGGATGTGTCATTCCCCAATCAATTCTCCCCACAAAGCGTGGTCCTCTTCCGACGTGTCCGAAGAGTTCTCCACTACAGTTACGGGATCTAAGGATCAGATCGCAGGGGTAGACACTATTGACAGCTCTCAGGGATCTGACCCTAGCTGATCAAGATAACAACTAGCGGGTTGCAGTGGCTCCTGAGCCGGCCGGGAGTGGGCAGCGCAGCAGCCTCGCCGGTCTTACAGATAGAGGGCTCCTGGTTCTTTGTCAAAATCCACGCCGAAGCTTGCAGCTATTTATCTCCGTGCTGGAATTGCACGACCTCTCTACTCTGGATGGTATTTGAAGTATAAAGATGCTTAAAAACAAACCTTCAAACACACACACACACACACACAAACATACCCCCCCCCCCAATAGATCAAAATAAGAGGGACATAGAAACTCCTCATCCCAAACACCTAAATTTAACTGATTTGTGTGCGACTTTTAAATTGCATGGCGCCAGAGTCCTTTAAATCAGGTGGTAGGATTTATTCGAAAACAATGTAGACGCACTTCACTCCAGCCGTGGACTAAGGACTAAGGTCTCTTTGTCATTCCTTAAACCTCTGTCCCTAGACAGCAATTTGCCTTTTTTTTTTTTAAGTCTTTCATTTAGTAAAAGAGCCCCATTCCTCATCCTCCCCGCCCCTCTCTTAGTTGATTCTAACAAAAGAGTGCTGGAGGTAATAATTACCGTCATTAGTTCACAAAGGAGGCAGCTAGGGACTGGGGGGAGGGGGAGCTTTCTGGGCAGAAAGGCAGACCCCCCCCCCCACTTTCCTTGGATGACCTATTTCTAGTTTAGAGATCGTGTTGCTGAAAAAAAAAATCTGGTTCAAGTGTTTTCCCCAGTGTCCTTTCAGGGCTTAAATGTGGAGGGTCAGAGAAAGAAAGCAGGGATACAAAGGGAGAAAGAAAAAGAAGAGAAAACAAAAATATTACATTGTTTAACCATAGTCCATATTCCAGTTTCACTGAAACAATGAGTGTTGGGGAGTCGGGAGTTTAGGGGAGAGGGTTGCTTGCTTCTCTGTCCAGTGTGGGAAGAGCCAGGTTGCCGGGGCTTTTGGGTATGCAGGGGCCAAATGGGAAGCCAGGATTGAAGGGTGGGTCTGGATGGGAAGCAGAGCTCCTCTGCACTGCACCTGCTTCTGAGGGCTTCCTGGTGGATCTATAGGTTGGAGTGCAGGAGGTTAGCCACCTCAGAGAAGAGATTCTCCTGTCCCTACCTACACCCATCTATGTGCTTCACAGAGCTGGTTTGGCTGGTATCAGGGCCAGTCTAGCCGCTCCTTGGGGCCACACACCAGGGCTGACTCATCCTTTTGGTTCCAAATCCTAGTAGAGGGGAGGCATTAATTCCCAGAAAGTGCATCTTAATTGATGACTTGGGGCTTAAGTCTGCCCCAGCTGAACCTTTCCCCTGAACTAGCTATCAAGTTGTAAAATGAAGAGATTGCAAAAGTCCCTCTCTTGAGAAAATGTTACCACCAGAGACTCAACAAAGGTTATCAACCTCTTATACTCCTAGTTGATCTCTCCCAGCATCTTCTGGCTCAGGACCTTTGGGTATAAGGCAGAAGGTGCCCTCTGTAAGGACAAGCTCTGTCCTGGCCAGGTCTTTCTGTGGATTCAGTTGTAGGTGGAATCACTTCTTCACTCTTTCATGCCCTCTCCAGGCTGAGAAGACTTGGAGAATGTCCTCCGTACAAACCACGGTTGTTCCCTAGAAGGGCTTAGCCATGTTCGCAAATGTTGCAGTCTGCTGTCCCAGGCAAAAAAACCTCTCCCCTCTGTCCAGTACCTTCCCTCCTCATCCAAATGCACTCAAATTCAGAGCAGCTGCTCTACATCTGCAGAGAAGAATATAAAATCTGACATTTCTGTTCACAGTCAGGGCTGGAGTTTTTCTAAGTGGGGACCAAAGAGAGGTTTGTTTGTTGGAGGGCACTGGGCAGATGGTGCATTGGAGGTTTGGAGATTTCATTGGGAGGCAAGCTTGGGTATTTTAACTTAGGTGACTGTAGGTTTATTTGAGGTGGCTAGGGGTGAGGGTTTGCAGGAGACTCAGGGGAGCCTCAGCTCACCCAAAGGGAACACAGCAGACCAGCATTGCAAACCACAGACTTTACAGGGTGCTTCCTTTATTTAGCAATCTTAATAACCAAGGGAAAGGCAGGTTTAAGGTAGGGATGGAGTTGATCTTAGAAGTTCTTCCCCACCCTGCTTTGTTCTGGAAGATTCCACCCTCCCTGGAGTAGACAGTGGATCTGGGCAAGCTGTTTGCAAGAGAGAAAAAAATATTCAATACTACCCAATGTGAAAGAGGAGAGAAAGAGAGACAACAGCTCAGGCACAGTTGAGTCCACAGAAGCAGCTGCCAACAGGTGACCAGAGAGCTATACACCAGTGAACCAGGGACCCTGATGGCCAGTCAGTAAAAGGACATATGGATGTGTGTGTGTGTGTGGGGGGGGGAGAGGCAGTCTTTCAAAACACCCAAGGGTGAATCTAGCATTTAAGTAACAAAGGCAGTCTCAGTCAAGGGCTTTTTTTTTTTCTTTTTTGCCTTGGGGAGGCCACTTAGTGGCTGGGCTACAACTTTTGCACGAGTCGCTGGCGCTGGGAGGTTCTGCGCAGGAGCCTCCGGTAGTCATAAGGGTTGTCTGCTGGCCCGCTGTGCTCCTCCTCCTTTTCCTCCTCCTCCTCCTTTTCTTCCTCCTCGTGCTCCTCCTCCTCCTCACCGGTCTCCTCAGCCGCCCCGCAGCTGCAAGGGAGAGCCAGAGCCCGGTGTTACTCACATCTCCGAGAAGGGCGGATCCTCAACCACAGGCATTTCAGAAAGGTACAATCAAAATGTAAGGCCAATGGCCTTACATGATTCTCAGCAAGTTTTCAAAATGAGAACGGGGCGACTTTGTCTTTGGATGAGAGCTAAGAAAAACATCAGAAGGTGGAGAGCAGGAAGACAAGCTTCCTTTGGATAGAAATA